CTGGGCCTGTAGTGGTTGCATGTGCCCAACTGCCTTCGGCCTTTGTTTGCCCCGGTACCTGTATCCAGCCCAGGGCCTGCTTCACATTCATTCACACAGGCGGCCCAGGGCCTGGGTTCACTCAACCAACTGACGCTGCGCAACTGCCTGAATTTCCCTGAGTTGCGTAGTGGCCAGAAAAGGGCCCTGAGGGCCTCGTCGAGCCTGCCTTCACTTAGGGCGGCCGACGGGCTGCAAAAATGGGGCCTTATGGGGCTCATAGAGGCAATGGCCTCGCACTTCGACCATTTGTCGTTTTATGCCTGTCATCCTTGCACAGAGGCAATGCTAAACTTCTCTGTATCCAAACAACAAAAAAATAAACAGAAAAAAAAAACACCCTTCTCTGTATCGTTCCAGTTTTAACAGATGTCTAGCTGTAATCTAGAAATGAAATGTTGAGGCCGGTTTTTCCCAAAAAACAAATAAACTAATTAAAATTAAAATTAAAAAATCTAGAAAAATTATTAAAAAACTCTAAAATACTATAATAAAAAAAAAATAGTAGTAATGAAATTCATTCTATTTTATTCTGCAGCGGAGTTGCCTGCATACTACGCAGTTAACTTTCCTATTTTAGTATTTCTAGTCAGCTAGAAAGGAAGTGCCTCGCTCCGCTAAACAACATACTATATGTATTTGGAGCATGTAATCATCCCAATACATTGAAAAGGTTGACTCCTCCGCGTGCACACGGTGCAGAAAGCCGTCCAAATGCATGTAGAAAAAATGTCGAGTAATGGAGTGAGGCTCTAAGGCAACAAAATTACTTTAGGCGTTAGCAAAAATGTGCACGCTCTGGCGCCTCATGTCGCCATTACAATTGGACTGCTGGCTGATCAGCACAAAGTGTCTGCATACAGGGACATAGGTGGGGACCACCATTTAGGTGCAGACAGCACCACAAAGTGTCTGCATACAGATGCATCTTGGTTGGGTTAGACCACCACTACGTCCAAGACTGTTTTTACCGACCCCAGTTTGTGCTGTGCCCCCCAAAAAAAAAACGTCATTGACACGATTTCTTTTATTTGTAGCTGGCGGCACCTACCATTTCAGTCCAGTACCCCAGAGAGAGAGAGGGGGGTGGAGAGAGAGAGAGAGAGAGAGAGAGAGAGAGAGAGAGAGAGAGAGAGA